TGCTTTGCCTTTGACTGATTGCTGAATGGCTGGCAAATTAGTTTGGGCACCTTTCCCTAAGTCATTTTGGTCCCATTCCTTCATTCCTCTGCTGGGAAGTGTGTATTCACATTATAGGTAAAAATACGTAGACAGCACAAATGTGGAGAATAGCATGTTCTATTTTAGGAAAGAAGTTGTAGGCTGGGATGGTTCCATTTTACAGAATAGAAATGATGCTGCCGTGCTCTGAGGGGAGGTCTGAACTCTCCTTGCAGCTGGATGTAAAATCAGTATTACTTCTCACTGACCCTGACAAAATCTTGGGCTCCAGAGCTGAAGACACTGAGTCCTTGGGGAGCTCCTGTTCTGATATTTTTCTCTGAGGTACTTATACTCAGCAAATCCTCCATGCCTCCCCCAAATCCTAGCACCATTGTTTCCCTATCCATCTCATCTCCAGCAAGAGTTATTATGGTGGGTGGTTAACAGCATGAATGCTGAATCCTGTTTGTACCACTAATTGGCTTTGTGACCGTTTGTGGGTTACTTAACCTCTCTGTGCCTACTTTTTATCATCTGTTAGAGGGGAATCATAATGACAGTAACTCCCTCTACCCTCTCTAAGTCTCTTCCCCTACTGTCATTGAACAGCGTCAAGTGTTTTAAACTCAACATTTTTTACCCTCGTTTTCCCTTTTCTAAGGATGTATTTCATTACTGCTCACAGAAGTAAAAGGAATGTGCACTTTCATTTGTGCTTTTTTCAAGATAAGTCAAAGATTCTATGCTTGAGACATAGAAAGGTACATTTTGTTAAGAAAGGGTAATTGACACCCTTGCCTCAGGGTGAAGATTGACACTCTGTTGTCTGAGCTTGTGACATGCTACAGTGTCACGGGTCTGGATGCTGGCTCCCTGACTCCCTGACGCGATTGCCTTTTCCTGTCATTGTTCTGTCACAACTTGTCATTCTTGCTCTTAAGGATTAAAAGGTCTAAGTGTTCATTATAATTACTGATTCTTCTTATGTTATATGTATGGTTTTTTAATCTTATTTTTTGTCGAAGTTCAGTTGATTTACAGTGTTAGTTTCAGGTATACAGCAAAGCGATTCAGTTGTACACACACATACATATATTTTCGAATTCTTTTCCTTTATAGCTCATTATAAGAAATTGAATGTAGTTCCCTGTGCTGTACAGTAGGTCCTGCTTGTTTATCTATTTTGTGTATAGTGGTATGTGTCAGTTAATCCGAAACTCATAATTTATCCCTCCCCCACCTTTCCCCTTTGGTCACCATAGTTTGTTTTCTATGTCCATGAGTCTACTTCTGATTTGTAAGTAAAATTTGTATCTTTTTTAAGGTTCCACATATAAGTGATGTCGTATGATATTTGTCTTTCTCTGACTTACTTCACTTAATATGATCATCTCTATGTTGTATGGGCTTTTTAAAAAAAATTAATTGTGGTAAAATACCATTGTAGTCATTTTTAAGTGTTTTTGGGAACACTTGGGTTTTAAGTGTGTGTAGGAACATTTATCAGAAACTGAAAACTTGTTAACTTATCAATAAGGCAATTGTGTTAAAGATGTGGAAATCTGAAAGGGCTATGACAATGAATTCAAACTCCTCAGCACTGACACAGGCCATTCAGTGCTGCTCTCTCTGGTGTTGTAGACACTGTCTGAGAATCTGCATATGTATGTGGAAGAGGTATTTTGCTTTCCAGAAAAGTTCTGTACATTTTTGCCAGTTTTTTAGACTTTCAGTCCTCAAGCATTTCAGGTCTGCAAAGACAAACCTGCAGGAAAAAAAAATGTGGAAAAAATCAGCAAAAGTCAGAGATGTATGGTCAAATATATCTTAGCCAGGTGTATCTGGTGCTTTTTCTGGCAAAGAGAAAAATATGGGAAAGTAAATACCAGTTCAAGTAAAATTCAGTCTGTAACTAGAACGGCTCCTAAGATACAAAATATGCTCAATAAATATTTGCTGAATGAATGAGTCAATAAAACAAGCAATTTTTGAAGTGAAGTTCAAAAGAAAAATGAATGATATTATTATCCTACAAAGAATTTGTTTCTGCTTAAATTGAAAAAGTTTAATGATGAACCTACAATAAAAATTTGGTCTCAAGAGTAGTTCCATTAAGACATAGAGGCATGAAAATACTGGCCGTAATTAAAAGAACCAAATTAGAACCAGATTAATTGAGGAATAGCACCAACAGTCAATAATAATTGAGATTAAGTTTCATATTTTCATTGTTTTTGAAAATCAAGTGTAATATTTAAATTAGCAACATAAACAACATATTATAAAAGGAATGTCTCCTAAAAGAATAGGCTGAATTCTTCTAATTCGAGGATATTACTTGCTATTCTTGAGGAATAAAAACTATACTAGAGGATTCATATTTGGTAATTCCTCAGATAGCATCCTATTTACGGATAAAAATATGATAATATAGTGCCTCAAATATTATTTATTTCGAACTATTTACTAATGAAGACTAAGCTTTCTTCAAATTAGTTAGAATTAATGACCTTAGCTTATGAAGTCAAGAATATCTTTTATTTGAAAAAAAATGAAATCTTGTGATTCGGGGAAGTTAAAAAGTTTGTGCTTAGCTAAATATATAGCTGTTAATTTTTAAAATCATAAAGTTTAGCCATAGAAAAGGTTGAGTCTTTTTTAAAAGACTCCACTCTGGGGAAGGCGAATTTGTAGATGGACAACCACACCCAGCCATTGCATCGCTCATGTCTCACGTGTGTGAGTAGGTTAGAAGCAGCTCAAACTCATGAAGTTAACCCACATCATCTAATCACCCAGACTGAGCACAAAGCAGACAAACAGCACAGAAGCAAGGAGCATTCAGTTTATGTCTAAATTATTCCTAGATTTTGTAGTTCAGAGAGTCACCATGTAGATGATAGGTGTGCATTTCCCACTGTTTCCAAGTCCAGCTTCAAGCATTGCATTTCCCCCAGTTAAGTGACCACTGGGTCATAAGCAAGGTGCCTTTTACTTCAGTACCCAGCACAAGACATTGTTAAGAGCCACTGCCTGTTGGCTGGGGAGCTCCCTTTCATCCTCCCCTTATCTAAGCTCCAGTGGAAGTGAGTGTAAGAGGCAGCAGCTTATAGATACCCAAGGACCGCACAGCCCGCCTGCCTTGGGAATCTGTGACACCCCCAAACTCCCAGAGAGGCTGTTATTCACTTGGTAATTTTAAAAGATTGATTCCAAGGTAAAACCCTTCCAGAAATACCTCCATGAAGAGGGCTATTGGGAAGGCCAGTTGAACTTGATTCATTAGGGGAAAAAATTAATGAAATGTGGGTTAAGAGCTCTCTGAAATTACATTTTACTTTTTGTGATATTCAAGGTGGGACTGGAAAAATCTACTTTTTCCCCCAAAGTAGGCATAGATGCACTGTTTCATGTTATATGTGTGCTCATTGCAAAAGCCTTCAAACAATCAGAAATCTATAGGAAAAAAAAAGTCATTCTGCATCTCAGAGATAACAACTTTACTGTTTTGGTATAAAGCTTTCTGGATCTTTCCAAGGCTTTACAAACATTCAGATAATTATAAGGTATTTAAAAAATAAGATCAGACTGTACACACTATTTAGTAATACACTATTTATATAATTTCTCTCTGAAAAAGTATACATTTTCATCATAATTTTTAATTGCTTCCCTGTGCTCTGTCATATAAACCTACCATTTGTGGTTATTTCTAATTTTTCAAGATAGAAAGATGTTCTTGTACATAT